AATGCAAGGACTATATAGGCCAAATATAGGGTCCCATTGTTCAGCACCCAAAAGGACATGTGGGAGAGGGTGGCTTTCCATGCAATTACAAGCTGCATGTGTGAATCTCTTTATATAACTGAGACAGGCAGCCTGGTACTCTGTAGATGTTTGGGACTTCAGTTATCATCAGTGTGGCCACTGGCAAAGAATTGTAGGAGTTGTAATCCAGACTGCCAATCATAATTCTAGCTTTGTCACCTCTGCTTTAGCATGAATTGAAGATTGGGGAGGGGGAGGAAGAGAGCGACATTACTTTTGTGAAAGTGGTTCTCTCGCATGTTCCCGGAACAAACAGTTTTCCCACCCCTGCTGTTAGCAGTCGACAGTTTTCAACGAACATAGCAATTAGGTTGCACCGGGCTTGATAATTAAACAATTGGCATAATGCAGTAAGTAGAGGGGATGAGAAAAGCAACTTCATGGTTCCGTCTTTTAACTACCATCCTTCCCTTTCTCTTGCCAGGCTCCATAATGTTGCCAGATGAAAACATGGTCCCTTTTTTATGCACAAATAGCTATGGCACCATGTTTGCAACAGACTCAGGAAGTAGGTTTGTTTTTCTGTGGCCTATCCTTGGTATAAGGGAGCTTGCTGGGCAAGTATGGCTCCAAGTAAGGCTTATACTTTCGGGTTATATGATCAGCTATATCCTAGGATACCATCCTGCTTATTTCTAGTACAGACGGGATATTCGTTGCATATTCAACTATTTCTTTCTTATAAAGACAAAAAAAAGGGGAACAGTTTCATATAGCGATTAAAACACCAGAGTAGAAACTCAGAAACTGAGTTCTAGTCCTGTTTCAGGAACAAAGCCAGCTGGGAAACTTGGGGCCAGTCATTATCTGTCAGTTCTGGGAAGAAGAAGGCAGGAAAAACCACTTCAGACACCTTGCCAAAAAACAAAACAAAAAAAACACCCCAAACCAGTCCAGACAGTTGCTAGGAGTAACACTGACTTGAAGGCATTTAAAAAACAAACAAACACATACACAAATTTTTTTCACTTAGAAAACTGGTACGCTGAGATTCAGCTGAGGCCTGATTCTTTCTGCTCATTGCTGTTGGGTCATCTCTCTTTTGCCAATCCAAGGTTCAAACCTCAAAGGCAATCTTTTAAAAAAATAAATAAAAACCCTGGTCTCTTGAGGCATGTTCTATGCATCTCAGTGACCAGCTTCCTCGTATTTTCTCAGCTCTGGGAAATCAATCAGTTTCTCTGGTTGTGTTTGTTTTATATCTTGTCCAATTCTTTTCCTCTAAATAAAACCTATTTGATTTGTTCTTTTTAGATACCGTTCCCCATTATATTTGTTTGTTTGATTAGCTGGGCATTCCCTAGATGATTGTGTGCACATGTGTGTGCATATACATACAAATTTAATAAAATGGTCTGATTGAAATATGTCTATTTTCTTTCTTAATTTACCCATGCTTTCAATTCTCTTTCTTTCGTTGTATCCATTACGTCAAATTTTGAATCCTTAGCTGTTTGGATTCTACAGATAATTATTTGTGTTAGATTGTACAAGTAATAAACTCTAATTTATTTAGATAATTTATATGGCCACCCACTCACTTTCAGTGACTGGGCAGCTCACATGACCCTCCTGGGGGAAGAAATATACAAGTAGTCCTTAACTTATGACCACAATTGAGCCCAAAATTTATGTTGCTAAGTGAGGCATTTGTTAAGTGAGTTTTGCCCCATTTTACGACTTGTCACAGTTATTAAGTGAATCATTGCAGTTATTAAGTTAGTAACCCAGTTGTTAAGTGAATTTGACTTCCCTATTGACTTAGCTTGTCAACAGGTCACAAACGGTCATAAATATGAAACCAGTTGCCAAGCATCTGAATTTTGATCACATAAACTTGGGGATGCTGCAGTGGTGGCAAGTGCGAAAGTGGGCATGTCACTTTTTAAAATGCCGTTATAACTTTGAATAGTCATTAAATGAACTGTTGTTAGTCAAGGACTATCTGTATTGTATAGACAATATGGCATTGATAAAGCCACTCCACATTCCTAGGGATCATGGTTTTATGATTCCTCACTAAACTGTTTCTGTTTCATTTCATTTTATTCTCTGTTTGGTTTTTGGTTTTAATTTTCTCTTAATCCTTTCTTTTACATCACTACCGATGGTAATCTTGCCAGCAGGGAGTATATTGTTTATATTCATTTCATACAGGTCACACTCTGAGATTTCTTCACTAAAGAGCTTGGCTAAAACCATTTGAGATGTAACACGTTTAAATCCTGTCTTACTTTTAGAATTTTAAAACAGCAGCCATATATTGTAATACTTACATGCACAATTTCCTTTTTGTGCTTATGACTGCTGGAAACTAGTTTGAAATGAAATGTTTTTTAAGCTACAAGATACTGAAAATTGGGCTTCAATAGATGTTGGAAAAAGAAAAGACAGCCAGTACAGATGAGATAGATTCGATGCTACATTTGTCCTTACAGATAGTCCTCATTTAGCGACCACAATTGGGCCTGGCAACTTGGTTAAGCGAAGTGGTTGTTGAGTGAAACCATGTCTGTTTCAGGTTTCCTTTGCTCTACAGACAGGCAAAATGTGAGGTTTGGTCATAAAGATACTTTTTCATAACCATAAATGGTTGCTTAATGAGGAGGACTATCTATAATGGAATGTGGGAATGGCCCTGGGAAACAAGGTGACCGTGCCTGGGAAACAGATAAGTGACAATATAGCCTGCAGCTGGATAATGGGCAGGGAAAGAGAACGGACCCTCCCTAATTTCTTGGGCTGTAAAGGAGATGGTGGGAGATTTATATTCTCTCAATTGAGATTTGCAAGATTCTATCACTGTAGCTTCACAGTGAAGTAGATTTAGCTTATGTGGTTATATTTCCCATCTGGTCTACCTGGGCGGGTGACGCTACTAGCACCGTGTTATTAGTCATGATTCAGAGGATTATATTCCCATTTTTTGAGTCTAAAGGTGACGCTCGCAGTTTGACAAAAGCTAAGAGAGGGGAGATGGGTATGACTGGAATGTATGGGAAGCTGGGAGGGGGGAAAAGGGAATTTAGACTGTTTCTTCCCCCCCTCCCCCCAAGTAAAATGCTTAACCTGGATTGATGGACAGTGGGCACAGGGCTGCCTGGGGGGAAGGAAAAGAGGGTTTTACTATGCTGTGCTTTGCACCGAAACCTCAGAACTGGCTTTACTTCTTCTGTGCCTGTATGGATCTGTCAGTAAAGTTTAACTCTTAGTAACAAAAATGTTCCAGGAGTTTTTTTTTTTTTTTTTTGCTGTGCATGTCAACAGGACAGGTTCACAAAAGGTCAGGGAAATACTTTGAGCAAGGATGGATAAGGACAGACACCTAACTCCCCTGCAGAGATTTTAGTTTACTTTCCCACAGTCCTTAGACATTGGCCAAGCCAGTGGGGACTGATGGATATTAGGGCTTTGCAAAGAGGCTGGGTTACCAGCTGTCTAAGGCTCCTGCAAGTCATTAACTAGATTCATGTGGACTGCAGCCTAATTGTAAAAGCTTTTTCAGTTAGTTATTTTAGATGGCTGGAGCAAATTCCCTGTTTCTTTCCTGCAGCCTCTTCTATGAAGGAAGAGAAAATAGGCAACTCGATCCAAATTTTGTTCCAGTTGCACTAAACTGCTGAGCTCTCTCTTTGGTATGGAATAGGCCTCCCACTCCCTGCTGGAATACAGCTCTTGGAAGCAAAAAAAAAAAATGTTTTTCCCTTCACAATTAAGGAAAACTAATACAGGTATTCCTCAACTTACAACAGTTCATTTAATGACCGTTCAAAGTTACCACAGCACTGACTAATGATTGTTTTTCACACATATGACCATTGCAACATCCCCACAGTCACCTGATTTACATTTGGATGCTTGACAACTGGTTCATATTTATGACGGTCGCTGTGTCCCGGAGTGCCTTCATCCTCTTTTGCGGCCTTCTGATAAGCAAAGTCAATGGAGAAACCAGATTGATTTAACAATCGTATTACTGATTTAACAAATACAGTGACTCACTTAACAAATTTGGCAAGAAAAATCATAAAATGGAGCAAAACTCACTTAACAAATTTCTCACTTAGGAACCTAAATTTTTGGCTCAATTGTGGTCATAAATTGAGGACTACCTGTCTATGATGGAGGCAATTATTCATTCTTGTTTAACATGGGAGTTTTCAAATTAAAAATGTTTTGCCTTTCTTTCCCCCTTTCCCACCCAAAATGGGAGTCTGAAATTGCCCCATCAGAGAATTGAGTCAGGACATGCCTATAAGTGGTCCTCGATTTATGGCTGCAGTTGAGCTCAGAATTACACTTCTGAGTCACACCAGTCGTTAAGCAGGTCACCATGTCATCGCGCCCAGTTTGATGACTTTTATTTTCCTGCTGTGGTCATAAAATGAATGCCGCAGCCTTTTAAGTGAATCCATTTCAACAAGCACTTTCTGACAGAAACCGGAAGTGCCGTTTTCCAAGTAAAAATGCAAATCATGATGACGTGATTGTGGGATGCTGCAAACGGCCGTAAACGTGGGCCGAGGGCCCAAAATATGATCATGTGACTGCAGGGGAGACCTGAACACCAGAACTTCCCAAGTCATAAGAAGCCCTGGGAAGGTCCATCGTAACTTTGAATGGTCATTAGGCAACCAGTCATAAGTCAAGGACTGCCTGTATTAGTCATAGTGGTCTAACATTAGATATTACAGGAATTAATAGAAAAGTCACTTGTGGGGGCAGAATGGAAAAAAAGAAACAGTATTGAGACTGAAGTTTTGCCAGCAAGGCAAGCACTCCTGATTGCTGCATGCACTGAAAGTTCTCGTTAGCTTGGACTTTTATTGACAGATGCATAAAGTTGCAGAAATCCAATAATTTATTTATCACCTATTCTTTTTTTCTTTTCTTTTTTTAATTTGAAAAATAAAATAAAGGAGGAGCTGGATTTCTGCGAGACCCTACTGCGTCTTTGCTTCCACAGTCAGCCTGAGGAAAACAACATGGACCGGTAGCTTGGCTGTTTGACATGGCTGAAGTTCGCACTCGTCTTTGGATCTGTGCTGGTTGGAGGTCTCCGATGGAAATACCCACATTTATCCTACGTCCACTGACCCAGCGGTAAGCTGGAGTAACAGAAGATCTTTCGGAAACTGAGATATGTTGCTGTTAAGCTGAATGATCAGCAGGAAGACTTTCATAAGCTGTTGCTGCATAACTTCCTCTTCATCATCCTGCAAAATGCATTTTTCTATCCTTGTAACTTTGCTCATCACAGTATAGCTTCCCTACTCTAAAAACCATAGTTTTTAAAGGATTCTTTCAACCTCCAACTTTAACTGGGAAATGAGCCCTACTTCCTATTGTGCTTTGCTTGTTTTCATCGTTGCTGTGATTAGTAAGGGAGGGACGAGTTTGAGTACTTTTTAATGGCTTGGCCATTAAAGCCTTGGAAGAGAAATCAGCATTTTTAAAAAATTCCGTTCCCAAGCATGTGCCTTCCAGATGTTTGAACGTTCACTCCCATTATCCTTAAACTATCAAAAACAGGGTTTGTGATGCTTTATCTCTGTTCATGCAGGTAGCAATTGAAGCCCACAGGTAGGGAGAACAAAGTTTGGGGGGCAAACTCTTTTCCAGCTAGCACTGAAAGACAGGAATGTTGCTGCACTGCTCTTGAGCACCAAAATGCTTTCAGCACCTCTCAATCTATGGCTGGGGGTGAGAGGGTTGTTAAAAATTTAAACACATCACCTCCCACTCCAGACTTACAAGATTGCTGCATTTTTGTGCAGAACATTAGGAAACCTGGCTACAGCCATATTTTAATCAATTTTAGTTCAGGATTCTGCTTAAAATAATGTCTATCTCTTGGGGATGATAGGAAGTAGGGGACCCCCAAATTTCTTCTCTAAATATGTCATGTTTGTTCAGCAAACTGAGCTTTTTACGCCTATGTAGAAATGCAGGATCTGTATGATAAATTACCTTTAAAAAGTGTTTCAAATATGGGATAACTGGAAAAGGTATGTCAGATTGGGCAGCTTGAAAGGCAGACTGTTGCTTCAGTAGAGTTGAAAAATGGATTACCATACATAGAGGTAAAAGGAAATTCCATTTTCTTTGCAAGTCTTGGAGCCCTGCCTCCCCCCCCCCCCCCTTGCAAATGGCTTTCCTGGTTAGAAATGGGGATTGTAGACCTTTGGGTTCCCTCCCCCCCCCTCCAATTGGCTCATCTGATGTACAGTATTC